TGTGACTTGTGGACAGGAGGAGCACCAGGAGGACCATGTTTCGACTCAAGTTGCTCACATTACCTGGTTGGCATAGTTCCGTCCTGACTACATCACTGGGAAACGTAACAGTGCAATACAGCAATATTGAGTTACTAGACGTCAGCTTACACTCGAAATACAAATTCTAACAAACTGACGCGTCTATATTTGTAATAAGACATCCATTATTTCAAATCTCACCTATATACGACAGACAGGCAGACAGACAATTGTTTATTTACGTCTCACTTCTGTACAACATACTACATACATATATACATAGAACATAGATAAAAGTACATAACCACTCAATATGAGTTATGAGAGACGAGGTCACATAAAAATAAATACAAGTAGAATTTATAAGCACATGTAGTTAAAAGGCTATCAGTAATGTTTTTAAATAAAGGACAATGAAATAAAACATGGCTTTCATCCTCCACGCATTCATGACAGTTAAAACACACCCGTTCATTCAATGGTATATTATTGTAGCGACCTGTCTCAACACGGAGCGGGGCAACACCACAGCGGAATAGAGCTAGAGCACGGCGGTGAGACCGGGGTAGGGGAAACTGCAAATACCGTTCAACTTCAAAACTTGTCTTAAAATGTCGATAAAGTCGGAGCTTGTTCTTTCCTGTTCCATGCCTACTTTCCTCCTGTCTGACTGACTTACTCCATTCCTGTATGAAGTTCTGCTTTATCTTCTCTCCAACTGTACTCGTTAAAAAGTATATATAAAAGGTGTTTCAATAGGGATAAAATGGTCTAACTGTAAACTTCGTAGTTTCTTGTGGACACGGTGATTCCAGTTACGTGTTCCTAATGACGCCGCTGAGTCTGCTCACTTGAACACTTTAAATACAAGTCAGTCAGGATTCACGTCGCACGATCGCTTGTAATACCTTGCTACACTTCTCCATAGCCGTACAACCGGTGGCTCCCATCCCATGTCCCCTGATACAGCGCTGTTTGGGGTTGACTTCCTCACTCCCATAAAATACTTCATGGCCCTGTTATGTACGGTACTGATAGCTGGAATGTGATGAGATCCCCATATCGCAGCTCCATAGTCTATTGTTGCCCACACCATGGAGTCATACAGCTTGGTAAATGTTTTGTTCTCCATCCCTCCTAGAATCTTGGTCTTTGATATGAGAAGTCCCAGAGCACGACTTGCAGCACTTGCCACGGCATTCCCCATCCGAGTGTAGTCCAGATGTTCTGTTAGTAACAAACCGAGGTAACAGTAACTCTCCACTATTTCCAAAGTAATGCCGCTACACTGGAATAAACTATCCGTTCTTGTCACTGCCTGGCTACGGAAATGCACAATCTTCGATTTGTTGGGATTAATTGACATCTTGTTTGTCGTACACCACTGCCTAAGCCCGTTAAGAAGTATATTTAAGTCCTGTTCACTCTCAGCCAGAAGAATGATGTCGTCAGCGTAAGCCAGAACACAAATGCATTCGTCGTCAACAGTTACACCCACTTCTAAGGCATTCAGCGTAGTTATGAGGTCATTGATGTACAGGTTGAATAACAGTGGAGAAAGTAGGCATCCCTGGCGTAGACCACTCTTGACGTTAAACCAAGACGTAAACGACCCGTTAATCCGCATACAAGCCTGAACATTCCGATACAGTGAGACAATAGCATTAAACATATTCCCCTGGATCCCGATGTCACTCAATTTACTAGATAGAATACCTCGATCAATACAGTCGTAAGCTTTCTTGAAGGTAACTCAACCCCTCATCCTCAGGCCGGTCACTGGTACAACCATGCACATAATAATCTGACCGACGCACTCTGATTCTTATTACAGTCTCAACACGTGTGTCACATTCACCATACTAAAAGCATAAAATGTACACACAAGCCAATCCATGAAGGAATTACGAAAGACAATGTATAAAACGGACAAGTAATAATTAAGACACTTCATTTATACGGTATTAACATGCCCTGGTTTTGATAATCTGCTTTTGGTAATAATCTTAATCCTACCAAAACTTAGTGGGGGTAAGCACCGCTCATTACATCCTTTCATTTCAATTACCGCATGCCGCAGGCGGAGAATGGCGTGTCCCTTCCCATGGCCAGGACATAAGCAAATGGCGTCACGTCCATAAATAGGAATAAACTTTCAATGGTCCTTTTCAAAATGAATGTTGTATTTCAACAAACGGAAATGAAAATATGTTCGTGAATAAAAGTTGTCTAATGTCCTAGTGAGAAACACACGGTGACTTCTATTAGCTATAGAACAGAGGGACGCTTTATCACCAGCGCTGTTTTCAAAACCAAAATGATATTGCAACGAATGTCTCACAAAATGTTGATTAATATTAAATTGAAACGTTTTTAACAACTTCATGGAAACGCCATAAAAACGTCACCGGTCGACTGTCACATATCCATGCTCTGGTCGGGAATCGCGTTGAGGACTCCAGATGTGTTGTCCAAGACATTCACATGAAATATCAGACTGAAGATTGATAATGTTGCAGCGTAAACGAAGACGTAAAATCTCTGATGGCTATAGGGTAGACTAACATATAGTCTCTGAAATGAACATATCGTACAGAAAAAAACAGTTGTTCAGTTATCTTAATAAAAATCTAATAAAAAGGGAGCCCAGTGATTCTCTTCATTTTCAGATACTGCTACTGCAGTAATCTAGACTTGCCAAACATTATAGACTTGCATGGGCTGTAGTTGATATAAATGTATCAGGGTCTGTAAGACAGACTAGCTATAGGGCACAGTCCTGCTTCTTGGTCCTTATTTACGGCTCGAAAGATGCCGCAAGTCCCATTCTAGGGTTACGCCCCTTAGGTATGCCGGGATCCTGTAATCATGAGTTCGAATCCATGCTTGATTATCCCCGGTTATGATTCTTGAGTCACTCACTCACTCACTCTCTCACCCACTCGCTCCCTCACTCCCCCTCTCAGTCGCTCACTCCCACCAACTCACCCCGCCCCTTTCCTCGGGTGTACATGGGAGGAAATGCCATACCTGCATGTATATTTTCATAGTTTGGATATTAAAATCTACCGAACTCGTGATATCAAATCACATGCTGTACTGCAATGCCGTGCCGTGTCAATCGCCGTACGAATATTAACTTTGAATACCGAGGTCCCAACATAATATAATTTCTATAAAATATACATGTTTACATATGAGCGCACGAGTGGGTGTACATGTTTAAAGTGATCTTATTCTATTAATGTTCCCCGTGCATCAAATCACAACATCTGTGCAGTAATGGGAGTTCAATGCGGAAAACTAAAGTGAAGTCATGAATACTAACATTAGCAAGAGGACTTCAGTTCTGTACACATGTTGACATTAGGGGTAGGGTAGCATTGACACGTCAATAGTGTAATGCATATCACCTGACTAGGGTCGATCTTATCTCCTTCACTAAAAAGGATTATGACTTGCAGCCATTCCTTTTATATCCCTTAGTAAAACGTTTTATCAAATGCATTGTTAATGGCCCATGTCGTATGTATTGTGAGCTCAAAGTCGAAGTTATATGGACCAGAGTCTTTTTTACAGATTCATCAGTATTCTATATTGTGAACACACACACACACACACACACACACACACACACACACACACACACACACACACACACACACACACACTCTCTCTCTCTCTCTCTCTCTCTCGCTCTCTCTCTCTCTCTCTCTCTCTCTCTCTCTCTCTCTCTCAGGCAGACTAGTCCACTTAGTCCGCAAACTTGTGACAGCAATAAAGACCATGTACGTGACAATTTGTCATAAACGAAAGCAAATGCTATCTGAAGTTACTGAGAATATAATATGTGAAATGCTGGACTTCCTCGTTGATACCATGTATGTACAATTTGGTGATAAGACATTTAGGGAAGAAGCAGGCATCCCCATAGGCACCAACTGCGTGGATCGATGCTCATGATATCAATCAGAGACCATATATCGGTATATGGTCTCTGTACCAATCAATGGAGTGTCTGGTCATGACTCGATTATTGACAGACCGCCGTCATAAAGCTGGAATATTGCTGAGTGCGGCGTAAAACAAGCAACCAATCCTTTATGCCGATCAGTATTCCAGCAGCTCCATCTTTATGTCTCCACATTTCACAACGTTTCAGGTACAATCGAGCATTCTCTTTCAAGAAAGACTCCAAATTAATAGCGTCGTACGATACATGCTCATATGTTGTTTTATCAGAGCAATCAAAGCCTCAGTATTTTTCAGCTTTCAAACATTTTAAATACGATGCATAGGTGGCCAAACTGTCCGATGCAGTTCCCTATTTGACTTATACCAGGTGTTCCCATGTGTGTTTTTTAGATGAACAATTGACTTGCCTTTGCATGTGTTTGTGGCGGGTACGCCGTTCAGTTGACCCTGGCTTTAGTGGACGTTTCCTTAGATTACGGAAAGGATTTTTGTCTCTTTTATTTGAATAAACTCGTTACACCTGTTTGCCCTTTACCGATTTTATCGTGATTTCTGGGGTGCGATATGGCCGCTTGACATTTTACATGACTTGTTTTCTGCAACAATCGCAAAACAAATGTGACTACCTATCGCGCGCCAGTAGAAATTATACATTGCCCAGTATCTGTTGTTATCGCAAGCATTGCTTATGTGCCTTTGTTTTTTGTTGCAGAATGGTTTGATAGTCTACCTATGTACACGACACATAATCAGTGTCTCGCGGCCATGTACACACAGAGGTTATTATTAGTAGGAGAACTGTTATCTTAGCTAGGATATTGTTGTAGTCTTGATGAAAATTTGTGAAAAACAGTGACATTAAACTAAGCCATTCATTATTCTGTATCAAGGCATAATATGTCAACTGTTGTATAAATAGCAGTGAGTCACGGTCGCGAAGCAACTGGGTAGTGAGCAACATGCGTGTACACGTCAAGCAGGTATGCGCACACCGGTCTGTGTAGCCAGTTAGCGTGTATGCCGGAGTCGTACGAGATGTTCCATTGATTGAACTCAGCCGATGTACCAAATAGCACAGAGAGTTGTCAAACCTTACACCGTAAAACATGGCCGCCCAGTGGAAAGCGGTGTGCGATACATTTTGGAGTACGAAGTTTTGGCTGCCTGACGGATATATATGGGCAGATCTTAAAAGTAAAGACAGTGATGTCTATCTCCCACAAGTGGAAGATATTAATGTGTCTCTTGCTGTGGGACTTTTGATGCTCGTGGTGCGGTATTTGTATGAAAGGTAAGGTTTCTAGTTCTACTTCTCGCTCCTGTTGGATTTGAACTGTCATTAACAACAGTTGCATGTTCTGTGGTCGCGTGATCTTTTAGTCATTACAGGGTATGAAAAAAGGACAGACACCTGTATACTAAAGTGGCATTGTTACGATGCCGGATGTGTACAGTTGCCCTACAATGTGATGTAGGCCTCCGCTCATGTGGAAACAGGGGTATGCTCGGCGTGTGGCCCATGCAAGCCCACCAGGCCAGGCCAAGCCTAGTGGTGACTAGATCTATAGTACACAAACGAATGTAACCTGATCATAAGTTCGGAAGTGAAGAGGTGTAATGAACCAACAAACAACCCAGTCAATGATTTCAGTTCGTTTGTTTTTAGGTTATGTGTTATCCTAACTTTGAATTAGTAGACCTGTTGAATCTGGGTTGTCTTGTCAGTCACGGGTGTGGCACTTCAGTGATGTTGTGTAAGGCATAGGCTCAACAATGCGTTGTATTAGGACTAGCGCCCGTAACACTATCTGACCTACTCTGCATACTTTACTATTACTATGTAAATCTTGTAAGACGAGTAGTACTTTTGCTTATGGCTAATATTTAATTCCAAGTGCTGGAAATGATCTGGCAAACTCAATGATGGAGTAACACAAATTCATCATTCATGAATAAAACATAAAGTAATTATGATAACAAATAAATATTAATATGATTACAGTTGACTATTTATTATATACTTCAGTGTAAAAGATTAAGTTTCCTGAAGTTGAGAAAAGTTATATTTTCATTGCAGTGAACATAACACTTGATATGTCACTGCTGTGAACATTGCACTTTGAAAGAACTATTATCATACAAAGTAAGGATAAGATATATGGATGAATAACTTCTTTATTACAATTAGGAGCGATGTTTCGGTGTAGATTCACTTGCTTGATGACGGTGTTAGAACCTATACCGAAACATCGCTCCTGGTGGTAATAAAGAAGTTGTTCATTCATATATCTTATCCTTACTTTGTATGATAATAGTTCTTTCAAAGTGCAATGTTCACAGGTTTTGCTATATGTTATCATTATAAGGACTAGTGGACGAAAACTGTTAGTTTCTAACCCTGGAAAATATTATCATACAAGAGCTACCTCCCAAATTGTCTCCCTTTATCATATGTGTCTGGCCCTTTCTCAAACTGTTGACTGGGTTGACTGTGTATTTTTTATGTTCATTGAGGTATGAATTTAAAAACCCATGTGCAAACCGATGCGTCACTCTTGAAAATATCTCTTTCAACCCCCCGGTCACTCGATGAGAGAAACATGATTTTTCACTTGACACATGAAATATCCTCAATGTATTATAAAAATATCATTTATGAATTAGACATAGATTACTTGCTACACTTATGTGCTTGTGTACCAAAACTTTTGCCAGATCATTTCCAGCACTTCGAATAAGGTATTAGCCATGAGCATGATAAGTACTACTAGTCTTACTTGCCTCACATAGTAATATAGTAAAGTATGTTGAGTCAACCAACCATGACATCCTGAGCATGTATCTTATTGAAGTGTAGCATGAAAAGTGTTCACATCTATAATTAAATCAGTTTTCTTTGCATGTAACCCCAAACTAGCCTACCAGCAACAGTTTGTAATAGGTTTTAATTAATTTTGTTTCTTTGCTGAGCTAACTAGACCACGTAGACAGAAAGACATTTTCCCACACTATGGCTTTGGTCTTGTGGCTAAAGAACGACTGCTATTTATGAAATGGCAGTAATTATATTGAGGCAGGTGTGTTCCTGTGCACAGTGCCATTATATTATAGAGAAGGAAATTGTACTGCCAGTGTTGTATGTGTGGCTTGTTTTCATATCGTTACCCAGATAACATTGAAAAGTATCTGTATTTTCCAGAATTTCTAAATCAGAATTCCACTTTTGGTGACTAATGGAAATTATGTATGCTGCACTCAGATATCACAGAAATATATGGGTTAGTTAAACGAGTTCAGAAAACATCATTAGTTCAGAGTACATGAGTGAGTGAGTATGGTTTTACGCCGCTTTTAGCATTATTCCAGCAATATCACAGCAGGGGACACCAGAAATGGACTTCACACATTATAGCCATGTCGGGAATCAAATCCGGGTCTTTGGCGTGACGAGCGAAGGCTTTGACCACTAGGCTACCCGACTGCCCCTAGCACATGAGTGTAATCACTGGAGAGCTTTCACTAAGGCTTCTGATAGACTCTGGAGTTCCACTTTAATCCAGTTGATAAGTTAACCTGTGATATTTCGAAAACCTGTGCTGTGAAAAAAGAGACATGGTAAGGGAGTACACCCTGAGTGTGGCTAATCCATTTGCAACAGCCAGTGTTAAACATGTTAAAAAACTATTAGTGCAAACTTCCTCATGGAACACTTTTCGCATGGTACATTTTCAGTATGGTCTAGTATTAGCTGAACTTACTCCACAACATAACTACACACTAGTGGTTTGTGACCAGTGGCTAAAGACTCAACAATGTTGTCTCCTATGTGGGTGGGCCAGGAAGTTGGGGAGGACTACATTATTTCACGCTCCTCGTCCTCATCAGGTGTGCCTCATGGACTGCAGGCAGGGGAAGTAATCAGTGCAGTGTACTTGTTTGTTTGTTGTTTAATGCCACACTCCTCAATGAACTTATCTGTATGACACGTAAGCAATGAACAGTGCAAATGTATATATGAACTGTGCAACTGCAAGTCAAATAGCTACCAATACTTGTTTAATAATAGTCCTGTTGTTTAGGAGGCAGTATGTTTAGAACTTTGTTTTTGGGTTGTATTGGGGAGGGGGATAAATACTAAAGTATGAAATTAAAAAGCATATCTCATCAACATCAGATCTTTGTTCATGCTACCGCTAAACAAAGATCTGTGAAGTCCCATTCCATATCACGTCAGAACAGCCTTCAAGCAGTGAAAATTAGACTGACCAATGAAATGACTAACAAGAAGTGGACATTAGCCAATCACAAAGCAGCATTCTCAAGCGCTACAGCACCAGTTTTAAACTGGCGACTTCCATTCCAACCTATGCTTTGAAAGATATTTTGACAAAGTTCTTGATTCAAAATTTGAAAACTGAACCAAGGAACTTTCTGGGATGTCTAATAGATGACCTGAGATTGTATAACAGTACTTCCCAGGGGATATAGAAAGTCTCTTCCTGTATAACAGTAATTCCCAGGGTATATAGAAAGTCTCTTCCTGTATAACAGTACTTCCCAGGGGATATAGAAAGTCTCTTCCTGTATAACAGTACTTCCCAGGGGATATAGAAAGTCTCTTCCTGTATAACAGTACTTCCCAGGGGATATAGAAAGTCTTTTCCTGTATAACAGTACTTCCAAGGGGATATAGAAAGTCTTTTCCTGTATAACAGTACTTCCAAGGAGATATAGAAAGTCTTTTCCTGTATAACAGTACTTCCAAGGGGATATAGAAAGTCTCTTCCTGTATAACAGTACTTCCCAGGGGATATAGAAAGTCTCTTCCTGTATAACAGTACTTCCCAGGGGATATAGAAAGTCTCTTCCTGTATAACAGTACTTCCCAGGGGATATAGAAAGTCTCTTCCATTCAAATATTTATCCCATTCAAGCGAGCGATAGACGGTGATTTTGATGGATTCAGTCATACAGCCCATAACTCTTGTTCACAACACCCTGTGTTAACCTTTATAAGTTTGTAGGATGAGAAAATACATTCCGACTGTCACTTTCCTGATCTTGTAAGCGACACTGTGTTATTCCCTATGAAAGGTCATTCTGACATGACCCGTAATGGGATGTTCTCTGATCTTTGTATAGTGGTAGCGAGTACTAAGATCTGATTTTAACGATGTTGTGAAGAAGCTCTATTATTGATAGTTATGTACATGTTTACTTATGACATGTATCATGGGTGTTTTTCACCAAGAGGACAAGTTGGGTCCACCACATGCTCGATTATCCAGCTGCTTATCCATTCCATTATGGAAACATTGGACCTACATGCCACCAAAGCTTTTTTTGTGGAAATGATGTCACACTCTCCATCTCCCATGGTGCTAGCCTAGCACAGAATTTCGTGATGAACTTTCAGGGATTTATCTGGTCCTGCTCAGAGGCCAATATACTTTGTAGAAGTAACCTGTATTCACTTTTAGCAAGACCAATAAATCATGATAAATAGGAACACATTTTAATGCTTCATTTTATATTACTGCATTAAAAGCAATCTCAAAATACCTCTGAATTTTAGAAAATATGAACTTTTAAAAAAACCACTTTTTCCCAATTTGCCTCCCAGCTGCACTGAGTTAAGATCTTTGGGAAGTCCCTGACTTTATGCTCAACAACCAATCAAAATAAGCTTTCTAAATGTGAGTTAGGTGCAGATCAACATTCAAAACATCTTCCCTTAGTAAGCATGGTAAGGGAGTAAGGGAGTTAACTGAAGTTAAAATTCCAGTTGCCACCCTTTGGTCACACACTAAAAGTATATGGAGCTACTAAAATGACCATGATGACCCTGTGCAAGGCTGTCCCACAAAAGTATTTATCATATAATGGGTAGGTTCTCGGCAGGATCAAACTGGCAGGATAAACACATGTAAAGCCAACGGATAAAAACGATGTCCGTTGGGGTCATATGCGGATAGAGATGCAAATATCAAAGGTCAAGTAGGGACTACTTTCAGTGTTTATAAACAAACATGGCGTCGCCCTTGTCATTCGGCGATCGAGTCAGAATTATGCCAAGGCTCGCTAAATACAATGTTAATTCCTAATGCAGGATATTTACCATCCCCAAACACACTTGCGTGATAACCTCTATTTATCATAAAAAAAATAGAGATATCATTTGGGAGATATAATTACAATGAAATTGCATCACAATGCTTTGCAGACCATTGTGACATCATCTGTTACCGAGACAACACAATCCAATGACATCACTATTGTCTGCTACTGAAG